TTCGATACGGCATTTTTGCTGCATTAAAACAATTCAAATATTCTACCCAAAAGTCCAAGGAAACGATATGAAGCTGGGTTAAACCACCCCTTCAGAATTTATACCGTAATTCTGAGCTATATTATATTTCGTCAAGTTTACCTGCGTACAAGGCGTAGACTTGGATTTAAGGAGGCTCGTTACATCACTTTTTGATGACGTACTAAACAAATAATTCTACATTGTTTCGACCGTTTTCCTCTGGGGTTCAAGAATTGTACATGTATACCTTTTAATATGATCCTGGGGCCCGTTTTACAAAAGGACTTAAGACTTAAGACCAACTTTTATTCTTCGTATAACTTTGTAATAAACTTTATATCAAAAATAATTTAAGACTTTTTTAAAGAAATGTGGTATGATAGTTTTACACAAACATTTTCAAAGAGAAATATTGATTTTGCAAAATATTACAACAATCTGAAGTTTTTGGGTCTTAGTCGTAAGTTTTTTTGTAAAACGGGCCCCAGACTTTTAAAACGCTTTTAGAATTGATGAAACATGGGATGTTGTAAACAGTGAGAACAAAGTAACGGATTCATTATGCATAAACCAAGAAGAATTGCTTTTCAACAGAAACAAAAGAAAAGAACAACCGAATCCTCGACGAGCCATCCGAGGAGCTCCTAGTTGAAAAATATAACTCTATTCAAGTTTTTTGTAGAATGATTGAAATCAAGTTTTATTGATAAATAATGTCAAAATATTTTGATAATTATTAGTATATACATTGAATTGTTTTTTTCCGGACCTTCCACTGAACTTTATTTTACGATATTAACTGCTCATGCGCAGTCGCGTGATTCTGGGGACGAAGCTAGTACAGTTTGAATTAATGAATTGCAAAGACCAGGGGTGCGGAACCAGGCTAGACCGGGTAATACCAGAAACTTCCCCCGCAGTTTATAAAAAAGCGTTAACTGTCCCAAGTTTTGTTATATCGGATAACATAAGTTGAAATTAGCTTCATTCCTTATAATTTAATTTCTGTGTAGACAATGAGACAATATTTCCTCCGGAAAAAGGCTTCAAATTGAGCAATATTATAAAAGTGACGTCAAGCGGAGTAATACCTTTTTGACGTAACTCATTGTGACTTAGGCAAGTTATGTTATACAAAATGTTTCATATATGTTCCTCTAAATGATTCAGCCAATGAAATTGCTCTATACAAGTGAAATTGAATTATAAAATATTAAAACAATGAAATACAGAATTAAAAGTGTAAAAGATGATATAAACAATTTAATTTTGAAAAATGTAACTTTTAGAACTAGAGCGGGGGATTGTCCTGTACGCCTCCATTCTTCATTCAGAACTAAGTGCAACTTTTTGCGCGCAATAAATATACCATTCTTACATCAGATGGCACTGTAGCTCAGTCCTTCATTTTTTTTCGGAGAGCTACAGTTCTGCATTTAATTTAAGCGTTGACCTATAGTATCGATACTGGTGTCCTTCTTATCAGTAACCTTTACGGTTTCTGACTTTAGGCTCAACGCTTGTAACTTTTTTTTTCTCGCTTTAGTAATAATCAATAATGCATACATTTTTTTCCGATGAATAAACTGCATCTTCTCTGCGGTATTTCTCCTACACAAGGCCGTTAGCTGATACCATGAGGCAAGTGAGACAAATCCCCCTCTAAAATCTTTTAACAAATCATTTTCTGTAAATTCTTATCTCGCCAAGTTGCTTATTATGGACTATACAGCATGTAAAAAAAAATGAAAACTTTCAGAGATTGTCTTTCAAAACCAAAGTCTTTGCACCCTCTTTTGTAGAATCACCCTGGGCCAGCTTGCTACCTGCAGATCCCGGGGGGGGGGGGGGGGTCCCTTAAAATATAAGCCTACTTACGGCCACTATTACCCAGAGATGTTTTTGAAAGGTACAGACTGTAATTTTTGCTTGGCATAAATTTGGATACTTTGTATCCAGTGCCTTTAACATAAAGGGAATAATTCGTGATCTCAATATTGAACGCTCGTATTTTGAATGTTTCGGGCATACTCGTAAACGTAATACAAACTCAGCGTTCAATAAAAAGTCTCAATAAAATATTGAACGTTAAAATTCTTTAGATATTTGGAAGTATTTTATTAGAGATCATTTATTAGCGATGTAATAGAATACAAAATTATTTTATATAGACAAAAGGATTAAAAATATCTGCAACATTATCTTAAAAAATTATTACAATCGGGAAAACTTAATTAGATATATTTCATCTATTACAAGTAGTGAACAAAATGATGTTTAAATGAACTCTGCATAATAATCTTTAAATAATAAAGTTAGAACCTTACAATTCAACTCAAATATCTTAAACATGAAAACTACATTTACTACATGTGTCAAAAAAACACATATCCTGTGATACAAGATGACGAGAATATAAATTTTAGCTTCTGATGAGGAAATATCTTGCAAAAATACTGTATACATAAGGTGTTTATCATCTTTGTTTTTATAGATCTATATTGATTATATACAGTGTACTAGTATGTACAATGCAGTGGCGTAGCATCATTTTTGAAAGTTTTGAAAATATCCCATTAGCGGGGGGGGGGGGGGGGGGGCGAGGTAAACTTTCTCAGTGTCAACTACTTTTAGTACTAATTCTTATACTACATTTTCCGTACATTTCTAAAAGTGGAGGGGCCAACCAGGCTTTCAATTAACATTTCCTATAGTGTAAGTAAGGTTGGGAAAAAAAGGGGGGCAGCCCCCCCCCCGGATACTACGCCCCTGCAATGTGTGTATATAAAAAAAAGAGGATAAGATTTTTTCCAATCATCGGGTACTTTCTGTACGGGAGAATTTACTGAGGCGGACCTGGCTCCCTGGACAGAAAGTAGAAGAAGCAGTTTTAATTAATACACGTATTCAATACCTATAATTAAGTTATACATGTAACTCCTTTAACATACAAATACACTATGTAAATTTAAAACAATATTTATACAATACAAAGCATTTTTAAAAATTAAAATGAACTGCATAGCTTTATGGCGTTATATATTTGTTTTTGACTATTCGCTACAGATCCTGCGATCATCTATGCAAAAAAGGTGCGATTTTGGGAAGAATTTCTTCGCGTTCCAGCATTAATTAATAGACTACCTTTCACTTCCTAATTTTACACATACATGTATTCTTTAACCAATCTGCATATTTTTTCTACTTGCCACCTCTTTAAAGTCAATTAAATATGCTGAAGTTGGTTGACCAATGCTGGAAAAAGAAGAAAATCTCCCCACCTTGCGCCGTAAATTGCTCAACATATGCATAAAGGGATCGGGAGCCTTATTGTCATATAATACATTCTACAAAAGGCTACAGCTTTTCTGCATATTTAAATCATGTACATGTATTATTAAAATTTCATCGTAATTGCTCAAAACAGTTGGACGATGAATCCTGCGAATGGAGATTTACGTGCGTTCTTGGAACTAAAGAGGTATGCCGAACAGCATTTAGACTAACTCTGGGAATTGCATCCACATCCTTCTATGAAGTTAGGAAGTTGGACGATGAATCCTGCAAATGGACGTTTTTGTATGTTCTTGGCACAAAAGAGGTATGCCGGACAGCTTTTAGACTAACTCTGGGAATTTCATCCTCATCCTTCTATGAAGTTAGGAAGTTTTTTCTAAATATTTTTTAATTATTCTCTTTTTTTTTAAAATGTTTCAATAACGTACCACATAATTTAATCTAACTTTTTTGGAGCTTTGGAAAACCTCTTAATATTTGAGGATTTAAACGATATTGAAAGGAATATGGAAATGTTTTGACTTATGACATTCCCGAGGCCAGAAGAAGATTATTCCAAAGCCAAGAACAAAGAGACAACAAGCATTAAAGTCATTTAGACTAACTCTGGGAATTGCATCCACATCCTTCTATGAAGTTACGAGTTGGACGATGAATCCTGCAAATGGACGTTTTCGTATGTTCTTGGCACAAAAGAGGTATGCCAGACAGCTTTTAGAATAACTCTGGGAATTTCATCCTCATCCTTCTATGAAGTTAGGAAGTTGGACGATGAATCCTGCGAATGGAGATTTACGTGCGTTCTTGGAACTAAAGAGGTATGCCGAACAGCATTTAGACTAACTCTGGGAATTTCATCCTCATCCTTCTATGAAGTTACGAGTTGGACGATGAATCCTGCAAATGGACGTTTTCGTATGTTCTTGGCACAAAAGAGGTATGCCGGACAGCGTTTGAATAACTCTGGGAATTTCATCCTCATCCTTCTATGAAGTTGGGAAGTTTTTTTCTAAATATTTTTTTAATTAATCTCTTTCTTTTTTAATGTTTCAATAATGTACCACATAATTTAATCTAACTTTTTTGGAGCTTTGGAAAACCTCTTCATATTTGAAGATTTAAACGATATTGAAAGGAAGAGAAAGGAATATGGAAATGTTTTGACTTATGACATTCCCGAGGCCAGAAGAAGATTATTCCAAAGCCAAGAACAAAGAGACAACAAGCATTAAAGTCATTTAGACTGACTCTGGGAATTTCATCCTCATCCTTCTATGAAGTTGGACGATGAATCCTGCAAATGGAGATTTACGTGCGTTCTTGGAACTAAAGAGATATGCCGGACAGCATTTAGACTAACTCTGGGAATTGGGAATAACATTCCCGAGGCCAGAAGAAGATTATTCCAAAGCCAAGAACAAAGAGACAACAAGCATTAAAGTCATTTAGACTAACTCTGGAATTGCATCCACATCCTTCTATGAAGTTAGGAAGTTGGACGATGAATCCTGCAAATGGACGTTTTCGTATATTCTTGGCACAAAAGAGGTATGCCGGACAGCTTTTAGAATAACTCTGGGAATTTCATCCTCATCCTTCTATGAAGTTGGGAAGTTTTTTTGTAAATATTTTTTTAATTAATCTGTTTCTTGTTTACTAGGGTAGAGGAGACCAAATGTGCTATTTCCCTGAGTCATTTCCTACAGATGTGGAAAGAGGGAGCTTCACCGATTTTCACTTCAACTTCTTGCTTTTGTTGTATGACCTCAAGACCTCAAGGATCTCCACAGATATTGATTGAAATCTCTTTTTAAAGAACTGTAAAAGAAGAAAAAAACAAGACTGAATAAGACAAACAATAATCATATCATTGTTATTTACAATTTCATCTGAGGGATATTAATCCTACTTCATTTAATTGTGAATTTTGAGTGAACTGACTGGTACAAAGGATGTATTCGCTTTGACAAAAGAACTGACCTATATGAGAGAACAATTTCCCGGAAAAAGTGACATTGAATAATTAATCTTTATTTGTTGTTTTCTACCGTATATATGTCTAAATTTTTCAAAATTGTATTTTATACCTAATATTTATTATTTACAACTTTACAACAAACCTCCAAAGTTGAACTTAACACCTTTTTGTCCGATGAAGCGTTGATTTTTGCATGAATTTTGGCCTAGAAGTCCTTTAGGACAGGCCCGCCCCTAAATAAAATTTTGATATTTTCATAGGTTTGGATGTAAGGAATAATTTAAGATAGGATTTTTTTAGGGGCACCCCTGCCCTAAGGTCGAAATTTACAAAAAACCTACAAAAAAAATAAGGAAACTTGGTTTTGATAATCTGCTTTAAATTTATACCCGCATATCTTATAGTTAGACTAGCTCAGTTGATATATACGCTGACTTTTGCACCGTGCAAACAAACATTTTAAAGTCGGGGGTTCGAATCCACCTGGTACCACAGTTTTTAATTTTCTACTTTTCAAAGACTAGTTTAATATTTTTATAGACGTGTGTATTTGCCTTCAATTATCTATCCTTTATGCATGCCCATTCTTGATATAAGAAACACTATAAAGAGATATCAAATCGTAAAAATCCAATGTACAGTTGTCAGTCAGGCGGAACAAACCTCAGTATAAGCACACTTTCTCTGAGGACAAGAATAACTCACTCTGTGTTACTCAATACAGATATTCTTGGCAGCATTGAGCTGCGATAAATGTCAATTGTATATATTCCTTAGAATTTAATAACATTGATTTTGGGTACATATGTCAGTAACTGTACTCCCTCAGATTTGATTTAGGCCTATATAATTTGCACACATTAATGGCATGTTTTATTATATTCATGGATAAAATAGCATAGACACAAAGAATGCAGTTAACATTACCATTATGTACAATGCAAGTAAAGAAAAATATCAATTATTACATTTGGATATAACAAACTCAGAAAATCAATGTAAGGGACTTAGGGTTCCTCCTACCTCTACTCACTGAAATAAAGATTCAGGAATAACAAATTGTTGGATGTATTTAGCCTAAGGTAATTTATCAGAACGGAAATCGACAAGGTTTTTGTAGAGAAAAAAACCAAGCCCGGTCCTATAGGTCAAATCCCTATTTATAATGAAGTGATCCTTTAGTCAAGTAATAACAGGGGGATCTTGTGCGCCCCCAAGCCCCAGCTTTATAGTTTTAAAAATGACGTGGACATAGAAAGAACTTTGAGTTGACACCCCACCCCACCCCCCCAAATACACACACTCGCATACGAAACAATGCTACGTCTCGGACACTGGAAATAAATGATCATTTCACCTAAATATTCTCTGACTCAGACTGTCGGTCTCGAAATGTAGTTTGAAGTATAAAATATATATCGCCTCGGCTTTTATCTTTCAAACAACATTTCTCGACCTCGGAGGTTATTCTGCAACATTCACGAAAACGCGGACTTTATTTCTTAAGTACTAGTAACTTGGACCTATGAAATTACTTTGCTATATCCGTAATTTGTTATATCCGTATAATGATCTCGTTAAATTTATATTGCTGGGGATCTAATCTCTTACAATGCTATATCAGTGAAATCGCAATATCCGTGTTCATACACAATAAATAATCTTCAGAATTAACCAGAAAAGGCTGGTGTTATTTCATGATACAACGAAATTATCATTTCACATAAAAACCGACCCTGAATAATCTCTGACTCAGACTGTGAGACATTATATTTCTAACACACAAAGAATATCATTGAAGCATTGAATTCATATTTTTGGATGTCGTCGTTCCTGCATGTATAACACGCCTGCTCGTGCTAACAAAGTGCAAGTGCACTTCAGCAATGCATAATGGGCCCTTTTTATGTGCAATTTTACTTTAGAATATATAACCAAATCGTTCTCTTTTGGTAATGGTTAGAAATTAGTGGATATTTTTAATCAAAAAGCACGTTA